GTGCAAATAGGTACCATTCCTAAGAGTAGCAAATTTTCTAGCCCTCAGGGACTTAAAAATGTGCCCCATTCACTTTTCATGCAGGTGTAGTGGTGAAGATGCTGGCCTAGAAACCAGGAGACTAGACTGTGAGTTCTAGTCCCACCTTAGCCACGAAAGCCAGCTGGTTGACCTTGGGCCAATCACCAGGAGACGGTGAGTTCTAGTTCTGTCTTAGGCACAAAGCCAGCTAGGTGACCTTGGGCCAATCACCTGGAGACAATGAGTTCTAGTCCTGCCTTAGGTATGAAAGCCAGATTTTGGACCAATCACCAGGAGACAGTGAGTTCTAGTCCCACTTTAGCCATGAAAGTCAGCTGGGTGACTTTGGCCCAGTCCCTCTCTCTCAGCCACCTGGTCACCACCTTGAGTTATAAAGTGATAAAGGTGGTATTAAAACTCTAAGGAATAAGTAAAATAAACAACATTTGAAAGGGAAATCTCTTATTTGTGATCATCCATCAGCTGACAGCCAGCCATATCTGGTCTTCTGGCTCTAAAGAGGAAACCACAGAGATCCTATTAGCAAACCAACTTTCTTCCTTGGAGATAGTTCTTACAGGGTTGGGGGTGGAGGTGGGGGCTGTAAACAAGACGTCTCTCCAGAGAGTTACACGAAGGAGCAAACAGCTTGCACCCAACAAGCTGTAGGAAGAGAAAGAATTCCTTGGGACTCTCCATCAGGGATTCCTTCGAGGGGGCTAAATCCAGATTTTTGCTCATCGCCGAATTCCAGGGTCTTCTCTCACCTTCTCCAACATTAGTGATAAATCTTGAAGCTGCTTCTCCTGCCTCGGAATTCCTGTTAGGTTGGATGTTCAAGCACTTGAGGGATTTTCATCCCCCGCACTGTCACACGTTTCTCTGGCTCTCGCTCAGGACCGCTCGCTCCCCTGGGTAGCAAGATGGCTATTATTATGTCTGCCGGACCCAGTTACATAAAGTATTTACGTCTCGCCCACAATCCAGCTGACCCTGAGCTGGCTGGATGATTTGATGAGCTTGGCTCAGCCTGGGAAGGATTTTACCAGAGATCATCTGTTGTCTCTCTGGCCTGTGGGACTTTTTTTTTTTTTATGATTCTGGCAGGAGTTTTGGGGTATCCGTCGGTTTCTTGACCTTGTGGGAGGTCTTGCCCTGGTCTTCTTTAATCCCTCAAAGGTTCAGCTCAAGAGGTCATTTGAACTTGTATTTCTGGGGTCACCAATATGGCCCTAAAATCTATCCATGGATGTTTCCTCCTTCTCCTCCTCCTCCCTCTTCTCTTCCTCTTCCTCTCTTTCTCCTCTCCTCTTCCTCCTCCTCCTCCTCCTCTGTTTCTTCTTCTCCTCCTCCTCCTCCTCCGACGAAGCTAGCATGTTTCAAAATAAATTTCAGCTTTCCGACATTCCTTCTAGTTCTGAGGAAAGAAAAACCCTACATTTGTATCCAGTCATTTTGGACAGTTCCAGTTAGGCCAGACAGAAGTGGCCCCCAATGGGCTCTTCATGCTCTAATATTGTCTGGGTTTTTCTGCGGTTTGCCAGCACAACAGCACCCTCAGCCTGGCTTTGGCCCCAAACACAAGTGCCTTGATGTGCAACGCTCATTTTGTTATATGTTAGATTTATACAGTTACTCTAAGGCAAAGTGCCAGCTTTAAGAACATATGAGACATCTTAGGCAATAAAGCCACAGTACCCAATGTATATGTTACATCTTAAAATACAGCTTTAAGTACTATTAGTGGGAAATAATGACATTCCCAAACCGTAACTCCAATAGCTCACCTTCTAATTAAATTTTCATCAGCCCTTGAAAAACTAGAAAGATTTATTCCTTGCTGTCAATATTTCAGGGAATGCCTCCTTGAGAAAAATTGCCTGCTGCCTCCTTCTAATTCAGCTGGTCAAGTCCTCATCAGCATTTGGGGCAATCCACATCTGTGTATCTAATGGTGGGAAATGGGGAGGAGGAAGTGACAATGGAAGAAGACCAGATCTTCACCAAACTGGCTTGTACCAGGATCTTCAAGGTCTTTTGCCCTGAGAATGGAATGCTACCAGTTTCACACCTCAGAGGTTCTCAAAAATATCATACCTGCATCTCATTGGCTGGCCAGGGGACTGGCCGGGGCGGGGAGGAGAGTGGGAGTTGCAAAGAATAGTTTTCTATTTTGCCTTCAGAAATTGTGGACGCTCCATCACTGGAGGTTTTTAAGAAGAGACTGGACAGTCACTTTCCAAGGTGGTTTAGGTTCTCCTGCTTGAGCAGGGGGCTGGACTAGAAGACCTCCAAGGTCTCTTCCAGCTCTACTCTACTCTACTCTACTCTACTCTACTCTACTCTACTCTACTCTACTCTACTCTACTCTACTCTATTCTATACAGGAAAAACCAGATTCCGCCTGACTTTACTGCAACCAGCTTCTTTCAGTAAAAGTTCCTTTGTTTCAATTGAACGGACTTACAAGTCTTGCTTTCCTGAGAGAGCAGACTGTCCAGTTGGGCTGGACAGCTCCATTTCTTATTTCTCTAAGTTGGGAGATTCAACCGAGTTAACCTTGATGGTTAAGAACCCAAGAGGGATGGAAGCAACTTTGCTCCTTCCAGTCATGGACTCTCCACCTCAAATGAGTTGCCCAGATCTAACATCCTCTGAACTTTTCATTTCCTAACGAATCTGCTTCCTGAGGTTGGTTGTCTTCTTGCAGATGTTTCGCTACTATACTCAGCAACATCATCAACCCTCAAGACCAAGGCTGTGGTGTTCAGAAGCACCAAAGACCCCACAGTTCAACTTTGAGCTGCAACTATTCTCTTCTGTTGCTATCCCCATCCTTCAATTTGTTAATCTTTGGTTTATTAATGTGGATTAACAATGGCGGCTGATTGCTCTGAAGGGTTCCTTACCGTCAGGCATCACACAACAGAAAGAGCACCAAGAAGTTTCTTTCATTCCCTCCATGAAAAACATTTTATTATTGTAGAGAAGGCTTAGTTGGGCCCCAGCTGGTGTTAATCTGCTCTGGCAGGAGACTATGGTAGTCTTGCTCAGCAAAAGCAAAATCCTACATCTGTGTCCAGGCATTTTGGATACACCATGCTAGGCCAGACTGGGCTCTTTGTGCTCAAATATTGTCTAGTTTCCTCTGTCTGGTGGCACAAGAGTATCCTGGGTAAGGTTTTGGCCACGAACACAACCGCCTTGATGTACAATGTTCATTTTGTGAGATGTTAACCTTTAGAGAAAGAGCCTTTTGCATCCTCTCACCCTACACTCCCTTCTGTTCAAATGGTTTCGAAGACAAACTGAGGTCGGTCCTGGGTTCAAATTTTGTGCTGCATTTAGTTTTCCTCGTTTTACAAAGAGGATCCACCGTAGTACGAGGAGAACTGATGCCAGCTGATCCCAGCTTCAGGCCAAGGGTCCTGGGAAACGAATAATTTTGGAGAGGATTTTGCAAAGCCCTTTTGCAAAATAAAAAAAAAACTAAAAAGTTTTTGCACCGTTTCTCCTGCTCTCTTGAGTTAGGGAGAGAAATCAACTCCTTTGGCTTGGCCTTTGAAATCTGTAATTGACAGTAAGTGACTATAATTGGCATTTTGTGGCTGTGGGGCCTGGAGTTTTTATTTATTCATTTCCCCTCCTCTCTTTCTGTTCCTGACAATCTGTTGGTAAACTGGCGATCAATGCTAGTAATCCCAAATCTGGCATTTTTTCAAATTAACTTCTTTTCAGGATCATCGCTTAGGCAAAAGCCAGCAGCTGCAAAAACACATCACTGATCACAGACGAGCTGACTTTGGAAAAATAAATCAGAAAGACTAGAAACTTGATTTTTTTTTTAAAAAAAATGTTCTAACGATGGTCAAATTTTGCTCATCAAACCTTGTTTGAATGTTTTGACCAACAGGCAAATAACTTGTCAGTGGACAAATAAACCAGGCATTAATTTTCCATAAAAGCGATCCATTTCTTTAAAAATTGGAAGATGCAAAGTTGACTTTTACAGCAGAAAGTTGAGTGTAGTATCCTACCTGTATTTTCTACCTGTCCAGGTAATGACAGCACTTAACAGGTACCACTACCTTTATTCTACCATCTTGTGATCAAATCAGGTCTCTCTAAAATATTTTGGGAGACCAATAGAAATACATAACATTTCAGGACTTCTGAAATTCATCGGTCAGCCAAGCTCACCATTGAAAAATGTTCAAGTCACAGCTTCCCTCTATTTCTCCTCTCTAAATTGCAGAAACTGGGTCTTCCATTTTCAGCAGTAATTCTTAGAAGACACTCGGAAGGCCACATTAACAAAAATACAACTCTAAAGCTGAATAAAACTATCAGCCACAGGTTGATTGCCCTGGATGTAAAAGGCAATGAAGATTGGGAACCTCCAGAATAGGATCAAAAAGGGATCCATGGCCAGGTCTTTTTCTACTGAGAGAGGGGGGGGGCACCGATCTCCCAAATCAAGAAAATAAAGTAGATCTTGAAAAACCTGGAAAAGCTAAGCTGGGTTGGAGCTGTGAGTGTCTGGATGCCAAGCTCATGGTTGAAGGCTAGGCGAGAAGCTAAAAAGATGATGATGATGATGATGATGATGATGATGATGATGATGATGTCATCGTCCTTGGTAAGGACTCGATAGGTAGACAAAAATGCCAAATCCAGTTTGAACATCTGGCTGTGCGATGATCAATAACAACAACTACAACAAAAACAAAAACAACAATAATAATAATATAATGTTGGAAGGTACCTTGGGGGTCTTCTAGTTCAACCCCTGCTCAGGCAGGGGACCTATACCATTCCAGACAAATGGCTTTCCAGTCTCTTCTTAAAAACTTCCAGTGTTGGAGCATCCACAACTTCTGGAGGCAGGTTGATCCACTGGTTAATTGTTCTTACTGTTGGGAAATTCCTCTCTTAGTTCCAGGTTGCTTCTCTCCTTGGTTAGTTTCCATCCATTGCTTCTTGTCCTGCCTTCAGAGGCTTTGGAGAACAACTTGACTCCCTCTTCTTTGGGGCAGCCCCTGAGATATTGGAGCACTGCTGTCATGTCACCTCTCGTCCTTCTCTTCATTAGACATGAGATATGGGCACCTTTAGAAGTTTCCCAGAGTGGCCCTGGAGTTGAAGAAGAATCTGCCTTGACTTTTGGGGCTCGGAGATCTGGAGAAGCTGCTATTCTTGCACATAAGCGGTAGGAGGGAGTGAAAGCTTGTTGAAGAGGCTTGCTCAAACTGGTCGCCTGCTCCGTCAAGAGGCTTAGCTGGGAAAAGCTATCAGCATTAAAATACAGCCCCGGCTGCTGCTTCTTTCTTCCTCTCTGTCTCTCTCTCTCTCTGCAACAGCCTCAACCTCTCACAGCACCAAGTGGACAAGAAGAAGAAAGTGGCCACAACTCCAGAGCAGAGAGAAAGCCGAACACCGCTGCTGGGCAACAGACAAACCGCTGAGATGTCAAACCACGATTAAAGTGGGCTCCTGAAGAAGACTTTTGTCTCTCTGTGCTGAGAGCTCCTTTGGCATCTTCCCAATCTGACTCCAACAGGGTAACAGCAAAGAGTTTGACATTAAAACCTTCCTGTAACTGGATTCCCTTGGATCTTATTTTTTTATTGTTATATATATATATATATATATATATATTTAAAGGCAACGGTATCGACAGCTGCTTTTTAAAATCCATTTCTTTCCCACTCAGGGAGGAAAAGCTTGGGCGGTGTGTCCGTTGTGTGTGTGGTTTTATTTTCTTTTTCCTGGCCCCCATCTCCATTCTGCTGCTGCTTTTGGAAGATTTGCCTCCTGATGTTTCTAACGGAGCTGGGGATTGTCTGCCCGAGGGGCAGACCTGAAGCCCGAGACTTATGGGACGTCAAGAAAGAGCTCGGGATCCCTTCTGGATTGGGACTTGAAGGAAGGATGGGGGCGCTGAGGAAATCTGTGCAGTGAAAGGTAAGTGAGAAATGGGGGGGGGGAGTCAAAAGTCTTTGCAGGTGAGATCGATAGATAGAAGCCCTGTGGCCTGGGATACCTAAAACTAAGGAGGCAGAGAAAAAAATGTGTATTTTCAGCCAACGTTTGAGAAGGAACTCCAAAACATTAGAGAAATGCTCAAAGTAGACCTAGCGCCAGAATAACTGAATGACAGTTAGAGGGGATCTTAGAGGTCTTCTAGTCCAACTCATGCTCAGAGAAGAAGCCCTATAATATTTCAGACAAATGGCTGTCCAATGTCTTCTTAAAAACCTCCAGTGATGGAGCACCCACAACTTCTGGAGGCAAGCTGTTCCACTGATTGATTGTTCTCAATGTCAGGAAATTTCTCCTTTAGTTGTAGGATGGTTCTCTCCTCTCCAAAGTGATCTGACTTGAATCTTAAAAAAAAGAAAAAGGAAAACAGAACACGTATGCCATAGAGTGGTGATTAATGGGTCGGCCTAGGACTGGAGAAATTCAGACTCATCTTCAACCATATTGCAGTCCGACAATCTCTCAAGCCAGCCCATCTGACAGGGTTACAGTTAGGGTCTAAATGTAGGTCCCCTGAAACTCTGAAGGAGGGGAGACCCTTTTAATGTATCTTTGAGTGCATATAAATCATCTGAAACCCCAAAGCAACCCATGTGTTTTATTCTGACCAAGGCAGAGAAAGTCAGCTACCGTAGCTCCGTGTCTTAAAGAAGTTTTCTTTAGCCTATGAGTTGGCAAAAAAAAGTCTGCCGTTAAAAATTGACTTTCTGCTGCTGTCACTGCTTATTCTGCCTCTCCAGCAAGGCTCTTGAGTTGTGCTGTCCCTCCTTTGTGTTTTCATGGGGAATGAGATCAGGAAAGGGGTGGGGGGGATTCCTCTGGTTTTGGTTTCTTCTTCTGACAAGCGTCACACGCCCTTCAGGGAAAACAGCCAGCCATCGGTCTCCTTCGCATGTGGTGGGAGAGGGCGGGCAAAGTGTAGACAGAAGCTTCAATAATGGGCTTTAGCCACCTGTCAAACTGTGGGTGATTTCTGATGAAGGTTTGAATGTTCTCCTAAAAGAGCCCTCAATCCACATCCCAAAATAGTCCACTGGGAGAACCTGAGATTGAAGGAAAAAAGAGAATTGAAGCCAGAGGAGTAAACACCAAGAATGCAAGAGAACGGCTAAGTTGGCAGATGGAGGCCATGGCTAGTAGGACTTCCCAAGACTCAGAGAGTAGACAAAATGGCACCACCATCTTCGAATTAAACCCTAAGAATACAGCCACAAGGTGGCTATCTGGATGCAAAAGGATTGGAGGAGATTAAGAAGAGGTAGGAAAACCACTTGTCTCAAATGTTATCGGGTTCTCTGCTTGAGCAGAGGGTTGGACTGGAAGACCTCCAAGGTTCCTTCTAACTCTATTATTCTGTTATGTTCCGTTAAGTCCCACTCCACTCCTCTTGTTGGTATGGTAGAAGCAGAGTCGAACAGATAATACCCTCCACACCATGTGGCAGAATCCAGTTCTCTTTTTCAGTTGAGGTTGACCTTCCTCACAACGCGGGAATCCCATTCTCAGAGAAATGCTAAATCTCTGTGTTAAAGGAATCTGTGTTTTAGTACTTGAGAAAGTTCTGCTTTGCCATTAAGCTGGCCAATGGCTCTGTAGAAGCCAGATGTTGGGTTTATCCTAAGCTTACCAACCAATAAGAGCCAAGCCAAGCCAGGCCAAGCCAAGCCAAGCCAAGCCAAGCCAAGCCAAGCCAAGCCAAGCCAAGCCAAGCCAAACCCTTGGTCATATCATCAATCACATCCTTGATGAATCTTGATTATGCTTTGCTGAGGGGGAGAGGAGGAACGCTACCTAGAAAATGGAAAGAGATAAGATCTCTCTAAGCTGGCTCTTTCTGGCCTAAGGATGAAAAGAAACCAGCTCACGAGGATGTGTTCCACCAAGACCCTTAGAAGGACAGGAGGCTGAGTCCTCAACTCGGAAGCTGTCTCCTCTAAAGTCATTTGCCTTCGGTGTTTTACCTTGTGTGACCCTAAGGTTGCAAGTTTGCTATGCCATCAAAGAAATACCTTATTTTCTTGAGCAAGCATTCCCACTGAGCAGTACAGTAAATGCTCGGCAGTTGATCCAGCAGCTGGATCCACCCATCAAATCAGAATCAGAATGGAGCTGGAAGGGACCTTGGAGGTCTTCTAGTCCAGCCCCCTGCTCAAGCAGGAGATTCTATACCATTTCAGACAAATGGCTGTCCAGTCTCTTCTTGAAAACCTCCAGTGATGGAGCACCCACAAGTTCTGGAGGCAAGCTGTTCCACTGGTTTATTGTTCTAACTGTCAGGAAATTCCTTCTTAGTTCTAGGTTGCTTCTCTCCATCCGTTGCTTCTTGCCCTGCCTTCAGGTGCTTTGGGGAATAAGTTGACCCCCTCCTCTTCTGGTTTTAATTCAGGAGACACCAGTTGCTAACCCCTGTTATAACAGTGAGGATACCAATGGGTGTTGGGAACCCAAGGCACAGCAACGTTTTAGCAGACTATTACAATAAGCATGAGAGACAATTTATTAGAATATTTGCAATTTTCTGACAGTGAGAACAATGAATCAATGGGACAGCTTGCCTCCGAGAGTGGAGGGAGGTTTTCAAAAACAGACTGCACAATCATTTGATTGGGATGTATAAGGTCTCCTGCCTTGAGCAGGGGGTTGGACTAGAAGGCCTCCGAAGTCCCTTTCAGCCCTAGGATTCTATGTTCTGTTGTTGGTAATAATCATAGAAACCTAACATGCTTGCAAAGCTCTCCTAAACTTTGGTGAAACTTCTAAACTTGAAATGTCCCTTCAACTTGTATTCAAGCCTTGCAAGTTTGCCTAAGTCTTTCTAACGTATGTTTGATATGCCGTTCCCTTAATAATTCCAATAATTATTTGCCAAAACAGCATGCCAGCAGTGTATTTCTTTCCCTTAGCATTGAAAGGGGCACTAATTTAAAAAAAGACGGGGCAGGGAGGGAGAAGAAGAATTCACACCCAGAAAAAATAGCATGCCTCCGAAATAGTAGCATCTTTTGCATGAACTCAGAATGTTAATATTTTTTTTCTCCCCCTTCCTTCTGAGTTATATATTTGGAAAGCGCATGCAACTGCCAATGTAGTATTTTCACCCCGGCTTCCGTGTTTGCAGTGCAAACGACCAGAATAGCTTTTATCTTTAGAAATTGGGTTTTTCAGAGCATTTAGCAGACAGAGTAACACCTTGGGCGTTAATTTCAGGTCCATTAAAACAGCGAGGGTGTGATTTTTTGCAAGAGAGTTGTAAAAGTGTCTGCCCCCCCCCCCCCGCATGTGTTTTGATTCCGATTCTGGTATCAGGCCCCTGCTATGCAAGCAGTGCGAGAGCAAAGGAGCTATTTTTTGCTTTCGGTTCTTAGAAAGAAATGTGACGGGTTTATTTACCAAGGTGTGTGCACACCAGAGCCGACTTTGGAAAAAAAAAATAGGTCATGTGAAAAGTTGAAGCTTTCGTGCAGTTTCCCAATGTTGTGACCTGCTTTGAAGGGCTGGAAGACGGTCCATGGGACCCCTGGGTTCTAGAGCAGTGTTTCTCAACCTCAGCAGTTTTAGGATGTGTAGACTTCAACATGCAGAATTCGTGGGCAATCGTAACTATCTACGGGATTCTGGGAGTTGAAGTCCACACATCTTAAGGTTGAGAAACACTGGTCTAGAGCCTTTATCAATCTGAATTTGTGGCAATGTGAGCAGCCCGTCAGATGGACTCTGCAGAATTTTGGCCACGCTTGTTAAGTGAGTTGCTGCAGTTGTTAACTTAGTCACACACGGTCGTTAAGCGAATCTGCCTTCCCCGTTGATAAGGCTGGTCAGAAGTTCGCAAAAGGGGATCACCTGATCCTGGGACACTGCAACCGTCTTAAGTACATGTCAGCTGCCAAACATCCGAATTTGGATCACATGACCATGAGGATGCTGCAACGGTTGTAACTCAGAAAAATGGTCATAAGTCACTTTGTCCACCTTCAAATGGTCACTAAATGAACTGTTTTAAGTCGAGGTCTACCTGTATCATGTTTTAAGCCATTTGCAACAAGACTGTTCAGTGTCTCCTATAGTGGTTTCCAGATCCGCTACCCGAGTGCATTGCCTAGAAATGTAGTAAATAAAACAAAATGAATCATAAATTGCACCAAACAGCAAAGAGGTATATCTTCAAGGCTAGCACACTGCTCTGATAAATGCATTAGGCTTTAACATTTCAAAAGATCTTTTTTTGGTTATTATTGACCAGGCTTTCCTCCTGTCCTCTAGCTAAATTTAGCCAAAAATCTATATGTATGTTAACCTGCTAGAGTAGGTTAGGCCAACGGGGACTTCGAATTGTTTTTTCAATTCTGTGTAGCGATGGCTTATTACCCCATCTTTCAAAACCATCCTTAACTGGGATTGTCCCAAATGAAAACCCAGGTTACCAAATTAGCTGGAATTGGTTGTTTACACACTACTGCTAAAAGAACGAACTCTGCTTTCACAAGTCCCGCTAGCTGAGTTCATACAGGCTAACAATCCAAGCCCTTTTGGGCTGTCAAACTATCAGAATCAACCCGATAGGCCAGGAGAGGAATCAAAATGACAAGATCCAAAATATAGTATCAGAGAGGGGTGGGGGGGAAATAAAGATATTAAATCCCAAGCAAAAGAATAGTAAGATTCAAGTTAAACAACCTTTTTTCCTTATTAAATAAAGCTTTACTTGGTTTTTTTCATATTGTCAAGCTGGAAGACATTTATTCCCTCCTGCTAAAAGACACGATCACTTGTTGAAACCATGTGATGCATACAATCCACTGCGTATTTTAAGACAGATCTCAGCTAATTTATTTATTAATCAAATTTATACATCAGCCATGTCACCTAAGCGACTAACGGTCTTACCAATTGCCCTTTAAAAAGAAAAAAAAATGCAACTTATC